TCTTGTTCTAATATTTCTGAAATCGCACTTACATCCCAAACCTTTTTATATACTGATGATCAAAAAAGCTACCTTAGCAGAAATTACGTTCCTTTTTATTACCTCAGTTAAACTAAGATGCCCTCAATGAGTATGAGTGGATTTCTGAATAAACTAGCACTCTTATGTGCAGTAAAAGGCGACACGTTTGTTTCGGCTATCAGATTTCATTGCAAGTCATGATCGAAAGCATTCATATACAGATGCTGGAGATTATACGAAACGTAAGTTGGACATCAGTGCTTGCCGCAAAAATATTTGATTACATCCCAGTCGACTAGTGGTTTTCATTCTTTTGTGCGACGGCTGGAAATCAGACATGATGCACTCTAAAGTGGTCATAACTGCCTATAGTATGCTTGACATTCGGAGGGTTTCTCACCGCATGCTTTTTTTTCTCATTTCTCTTGCTTAGGATTAAAATTCGACCAAAACGTTTGGCCCTCACTCTTCATCTTTTACCGAAGGTCACTCGAAGGGCATAGACCTTGATGCAAACAGATTTTGCGTTAGGTACCTCATAAAGCTACACAGAAAGCGTTGAAAGATGCGTATGAAAAAGGTGATCCCCTTGGTTACATGTCACAATAAAATTGATTGTCTTGTTCAGAGGGTCTTATAGTGACAGCAGAACAAAGAGAGGGTGTGTGCAATATTCATATGTCCGAAAAATACTTTTGTGTACACTTTTAGCCGAGAACCACTCCACGGATTGACATATTGCACCACAGGATTTTCCGGTGACAATTGACCGTATGGCTTACCATTTCGTCTTGCACGTTTGCTCGTAGCTGTTAACTACAGGCAATAAACTGCATTTTTGGAAGTGATTTCATCTCTGATATCGTAAATACTAAAAGACTCTGAAACCAATAAAGCCTTTGAAATTCTACTTTTAAGTAGTTTTCCATCAACGACACTGACTTTTTTTGAATTGTTTGAACTGGAAAACAGCATTTTTATCATCCTTCTCATTTCCTTACCCTCATGGCATGTTGATTCCCAACGTGGAGTTGAAAAACTGAAAGTTTTTTGAACGTTGTTAAGTCTCATAGAAGCCCCCGTACGAGGTCACCTGCTGCTACCCACCTAACACCCCCATCATCCACAATCTAAAAGAACCGCAGAAAGGTGTCACAGTTGCCCATTACAATCAGCTGAAGGTCTAGTGTAAGTTTCGTTTTACACCCGCTGTTGTTGGAATTTGGCTAAAGTTGGGGCACCAACTTCTGCACCCTGTCTCTACTGATTGTGATCACATCTGTCACTGAGTGATTAAGCTGCAGAATGTTACTGCAGTAAGCACATGTCTGACTGCCTTCAAGCGGCAAAGCTCAGCCACCTCGTGCGAGGTTACTTGTAATCCATTATGAGAAACAACGGCCTGGGGCAACCCACAGCAGAGAAAGTATTCGCAGAGGCAGCGGTCGGCTTATTTGTGCACTATGGTACCCATTACTATTTCAAAAGTAGCAAAAATATTTCCCATGTTTGACTAGCAAGGGCTGTCGACTTTATCGGTGAAATATTCTGCTGTTGGCGCAACAACACAAGCCGAAACCATGCCCTAACAATACGAAGAAATAAAGCCAAGTGCTCGGAAACATGCCGTCTTGATGAAAATTCGAGGAGAATTACTTCGGTATCCGTCTGCAAAATTAACGAGGTAGATGCCTGACGCTGAAGTATAGATGCCGGAGAATCCAATTTTCACACACCCATCATCACAACTTAGACATTGCCTCCAAAACGAATGTGAGGATTGGGAAAGAAAAATTATGGCAACAATGATAGGGCATTTCTTAGTGACCTTGAAAACACATGAGAACCTCTCAGAATTAACTTTTTCATTTCTTCACCCAAGCACACTAATGGTGGGCGATCACCTGCAAAAGGCTGAGAACACAATGCAGGATTGGGTTTGTCAGACCAAGCCATAGTAAAAAATGCCCCCGAACCTAACAATTCCGGGTGAGATAGTACGGGGATGTGACGCGTAAAGCAGAACGTGTGATTGAAAAAGCTCACCAAAATAGTTTTATTTATGCAGTTGCGCTATAATAATCATCATAGTATCTGTTCATCAATATACAGGCACACACCATTTTTACAGTTATGAACAAGTTTATATACAACTTACATTCATCTTCATGGAAGGTAATCTCAATCGCCACCCGTTGTCACTAGAGGATATAAATGCTGCATGTTCATATAATGGAACATCCCAGCAGAATAAGTGTGCAGAAAATTTACAAGTTGGACAAGTGGAGGTATTGTCTTCGCATTAACAAAAAAACCAGGTTTGTATCTAGACACTACAGGTATTACCTGGGGAAAAATAAAGCTTGAAGCTAATACTTCCATTGTAACAGTTTGTACTTTTTGCTTGAGATAATGATGAAAAGTTTACGGATTGTTTACATATTGTACTTCATTGACGATTCCGGGACTGTGTAATTCATGCATGTTAATACCATCCCACAACAAAGATTCATAATCTTGATGAATATTATGACTGAAAGCCAAATATCTTCACTCTTCCAACTCCAGCATCCAGAAGCAATAGATCTGTTTGAATGCACCAAATGGGCTTCCAGAACATCTCGTCCGCCGTTCTCACGGGTCATGACAGCCAGGCAGTTGGTGGGTGTTGGACTTTGCTAGTCGCCTTTATGATGAGTAAATACTAGACTTTGCTAGTTATGAAGTTGTAGTTCAGTGAACATTTTTTATTTCTGCTTGTTGTAGTTGGGTATCCTGAACGTGGTAAAGCTGGTCACCCTCCATGAAGGGTAGTTTCAGCCATGGTCTGTTCCATAAGTAATTAATTATCGATGGCAACAAAGCCAACGTTTAGAACTGAATTATTTTTCTATAACGAGAAAGAAACAGACAAAGCAGCAGGCGGAGAAAGCAAGAATTCCAACAAGGAGAGTGTTTTCTATGTTCATGTTTCTCCCTACTTAACTTCCCTTGCCATGGCTTTCATTGTATATCCTTATTCTATAGAGTATTTAAAAATATAAATTTCGTGCTGCCATGTGGTGCATGATTTCTGTTTTTGATTAACGCGTTGGGTGGGACAGAATGTGCCGTTAGTTTGAGGTGGTAACTTATGGAAGTCTCCTCAACGCTTCGTATGAAGGGTCGGTGTAGGTGTGGTGGCTATCTCGTTATACATCAAGAGAGCCGAGTATACGAAGTGTTGTGAAGGAGACTGTTGGTGTATTCGATAAGCCGTAGGAGTCACCAGATGACAAGAAGTCAGCTAGTAACAGACCAAATTCAGAAGTTGATTTGGAGGCCTTCACTTTAGCTGGAAGTCTGTTCCACAACTGAGAGAATTTGACAGCGAAGAAGTTTGCACGTAAGCAGGACTTGAACGATTTCATTGTGACGCTATGGGCGTAGTTGCGCAGATCGTAACAACTGTTTGTGTTCGAACTGAAAATCATCGCTGGCTGTGAAGGTGTGTTTATGTAACACATTAAAGAAGAGTGTCAGGTTAATTTTGAGTCGTCTGATCCAAAGTGTTTCTAGACATAGTGTTCTGCATCAGGAGCTGTAGTCCTGTTTGCAGATGTGTCCTAACAATCTAGCTGTAAAATACCTTTGGGCACCCTCTTTACATCCTAACACCGTTTTGCACAGGAAAATTTATTAAGCTGCATAACATTACTAAGGCTGGTCGTAGTTTTAAACGAACTTTTGTCGTTCAAGACGGGATATTCCTCCAAGGGAGGAAATATCTTAAAGACAAATTAGCCTTTCTCCCTACAATTTTGGAGGCAACTGGATGCTTACTGGGGTCATTCGGCACAAAAATGCATACATTAATCCATCCGTATCGCCTAAAAACAGCCTCTTGTGAATC